GTACTAGTCACTTTATTGCAGTAGTTTTTCTTTTAGTCAGCAGAAAATGTGGTTAACAAACACAGATAAGCATAAAAAGAAAAATACCGTGATATCGTGATAATTGTTAAAAAATACCGTGATATTTTGGTCATATCACCCAGCTCTAAAATTACTTCATTTCTGGACATTTATGGTTTGATTTCTTTGTATGTATGGATCACTTGGGTTGTTACCGACATCTGGTGAAAATTTCATGTCATTAGCTCCTCTAGTAATATATTTACTGAGAAAAATGGTGACGTGTTCAATACTTATTTTACCTGCTGTAGATAAAACATTCTTTTGTAGTTCTGTTATGTTCATTTGCACTACAGCAAAAATACTGGCTTTGATTATGATTACAGTTTTCTGCTAAATAATTGCTCTAAAAATTACATTATCTTTGCTTTTTATGATAGTTTTCTACTGTGATATATACCGTTACTGTGAAGGGATCCAATTTAAACCGTGGTATGAATTTGAGGTCATACCGCCCAGCCCTAGAGTGAGTGTTTTATCTGTTAGTCTAATTAAAGTCCTGTAGTGAGGCGGTGCAGCTGATGGAGAATTCTGAACTCACATCTTCAAAGTAGATGGAGATGAGGTTCATGTCACTGGTGTTCTTGCTGTCCATGCGGTACTGCTCGTACATGAGGTCATCCCGTGAACACTCCAGCTCCATCAGCTTCCTGTGGGCCTGCAGCAGCTCGCCGTGCTCGATCAGGTGCTGTGTTTCTAACACGATCTCTGGCACTGGCAGCACAACAGACACACAGAGACACACACCGACACGGGACACCAGCTCCTGTCAGCAATGTGCCGGCCCCTGATATGTGGAGAAGATCTGACTGAACTTACCAGAGAAAATGTTTTTGAGGTTTTCTACAGCAGAGGCCAGCTGACTGTGTTGAACCACAGCATCTTTGACATCTTTTAGGCTCTCGATGGTGTTGATGCTTTGCCTCCAGTCTTTGCTCACGGCGGCCAGAGAGCTCTGGATGTCTTTAACATCCAGCAGGGCACTGTGCAGCTGGGTCAGACCAGTCCGTACCCCGTCCAACTGAGACTGGATCGCTGCCTGAAATTCACAACATCAGTAACGTGTGCAGGATTCTGTCAGAATCACCTTAAATAAACCAAATTAACCAAAAAAAAGGACCTAAAAACAACCTTTATCCTGAGCAGCATTAACTCTCACCTTTAACCTGGCTTCCACAGAGGCCTTCTTACGAGCCTCTCTCCGTCTGTACTGCTCCACTTTATCCAGCTGGTCTGATTTCTGCAGCATCCCAGCCACACGCTGCACTGCTGTGGCAACTGCCTCCCGACTGGTCTCTTCCATGCTGCAGCTCAATTGGAGTTGCTTCATGCAAACTATAAACAGGACAGAAAGAAAGAACACTATCAGTGTGCATCTTACAGCAGGTCTGTTCCTCTCAGCGCCGACTCAGCTGCAGGCTCGGCCTGGTAGGGTCATCATCCCTCAACCACAAAGAGGTTTCATTTGTCATCTATCTGAGATAACCAATTTAACACAACAAAAACCTGCTTGATTTTCTTGAAGGATCGATCGATCGATCAATCAATAGCTGTTTGAAAACTCAGCATCATTCATGTTTTTAATAACTTATATTCCAAAAATCCAACAGTTTGATTCATCAGCACATACTTTTCTGTCACTAGTTTCACATGAACTGTTAACATTACAAGTTTCTGTAGTAAAAATACATTCTGCAGGGTGAGTGAAGGTTTATTTTTAGATATTTACAAAAGAATACTGACAACTAGAAAAGCTTTGGAACATTCAACAAAGAACATTCATAGCAAATCTATAAAAATATTAAGATTATTCAACAATTTGTCACACATTTCACATTTATACATTATTCTATTCAAATTCATGATGTTACTTATCACATTCTTAAAATCTGTAGCTTTCTTATGTTTAACCCAAACAAATCACCTACCATGAAAGATGATTCAATCATTTAAAAACTGGATTTAAGACTAGTCACAGCTACTTTTACCAGCTAATATCAAGATGTCAAGGTTTTTTCAGTTCTTGACATTAATAACACAAAGAACAACTTTCTATTGTTTTACATGTTTGGTTAGTAACCGTAAAGTAAAATAGAAATGTAAACATTAATATATCAGCTCTTGTGACATTAGAAGTTTATAATAAATAAAGGCCCAAACATCAGCTCACACACGTCTGGAGAAATATAAACACATGATCTAAAGCACAACAGGTCTTCCTCTGACAGCTGACTCAGGAACAAAATCCCAGTTTATAAAAACACTGAGGCTTAATGATTTCTTCGTTAGCATTAGGCTAAGCTAACTGAGCACGAACAAAGAGTAGCTTTGTGTCGCAGCAGGGTTTGTAATGACAGCTCAAATAAAAGAAGAGCACTCTTACCTCGGACAGTTACGAGAAGATTAACTGGAAAACAAAATGCATACCTACAAAAAGAATACGAATAATTTTAATTTTAGTCGGCCTCCTGATGTTGTTGATTTACTTCCTGATTTGTGTTTGTTGGCCCCGCCCTCTTTCTGTTTATTGTCAGCTGGTGACTCTGCTGCCACCTGCTGGACAGGAAGCTAAAACACAAAGCCGGTCAGAGGGACTCACTGAGGTGAGTGTTTTACTTCAGAGACTCAATATACAATACTTCATAATAAAATAAAATCAAGATTTATTATGAGACAGTAGGTGAATCTGAGCATGTTATGTGTGTGTAAATTCAAATAGATTCATTTATATTGATCTGCAGATATTTCTGTGTGCATAAAAGTTGATACGCTTGTATTTTTTCTTTCATAGAGCCAAATAAACCTATTAAAGAACTGCATAATTAGATGAAATCAGTTATTTTCCCAAGTTCACTTATTTCAGTGCAGGTTAATTGTCAGTGTTTTTGCTGTTAATTTTTAACCACAGGCAGAGTTTGTTTGATTTAAAATACACTTGAAAACAAAACATAAATCATATTCTGATGTCTGTCAGAGGCTGCAGTCAAACTGCAGGAAGCTTTAGAAAGCTTAGAAGTTTTTCTGCAACACGACTCCATCAGAACCAGACTGAGTTAATGTAGCGGGAATGGACTGCATGCATTTAGATGTTTTGTTTGGATTTGCTGAGACGTGCATTAAACTGTTAATATATTTATTTGATAGTACCTGTGTACATTAAACAATATTTAATAAAACCATAATTTTCAAATGTCCTGGGGGAGGTAATTTGCATAGAATCTGAATGGGCCATGTTTAGGGCCTCCATTGCAGATGCAGCTTCCAGGAGCTGTGACCTGGAGGTCATCTGTGCCTGTCACGACAGCAACCAAAGGACCCTAAGGAGGTGATGGAGGCCATCAGGTTGAAGAAGGAGGACTTCAGAACTGTTACAGATGCAAAAACTCAGGCATTTGAGGAATCCGGGAAGGCCACGGAGAAGGACTTTCAGTTGGCCTCAGAAAAGGAAAGTGTTCCCTGTCTCAGGCTGTACTTAGTTTGGGTGGAGAACTGCTGACCCAGATTGAAGAATCCACCCTCCATGTCCACCTTTGAGGAGGCGGAGTCTGAGGATTCTGGGGAAGATGAGTTCATTACCACGGCAGAGGTCACTCAGGTTGTCAAAATGCTCCTCGGTAGCAGAGCACCAGGGGATGATTCGTGGAGGGATTCGGTATTCTCTCTGGTCTGGGAACTCTTCGGGGGTTCCCCAGAACGAGCTGGAAAGTGTCTCTGGGGAGAGGGAGGTCTGGGTTTCTCTCCTGGATCTGTTGCCTCTGTGACCTGATTTTCCATCATCTGTTTGAGTGAAGACTCAGGCCTGAGACAACTCACATGAAGATTCAGTTTTTATGTTCCTGGATCAACAACAGCCCACGTGTGGAGCAGGGAAGGGCACCAGGGGGAGCAGATGAGGGCAGAGTGTGCTTCACCTCTCCCACACAAAGTTTGATGTAACACTCAGGGGATTTGAACCAGCAACCTTCTGATCCCAGACTCATAACCACTTCCATCAAAAGATTACCTTAGAGTAAAATGCTGAAATGAAGGCAGCCTTTAATTTACACCTGCATGAAAATATGGCCACTCCTCAAAGTAATGACTTCCTGTTGATTGTTGAGTTCTGAAGAGCTCCAGCAAAGCTTTGATGCTAACAGAATACAAACTGCTGCTCTTTGCAAAGCAGACACTTTAAACACTTTTATTCTAAATGCTGTATACAGCGAGTAAAACAAGTACATTTTTTCTCAGTAAATATATTACTAGAGGTGCTAATGACATGAAATTTTCACCAGATGTTGGTAACAACCCAAGTGATCCATACATATAAAGATATCAAACCATAATTGTCCAGAAATGAAGTTATTTTTAATAATGTGGAATGACACAGGGAAAAGTATTGAACACACTTAGTGTAATTTATCTAATACT